ATTCTCAGAAAAACATGAATTAACTATTAAGAGCTATAAGCAATCGATAACTACTGATAGAGGGAGAATTAGTCTTTGCTAGGGATGAGCCCTTGATTGGTTATCAAATACCAAGTGGCAGGCCTAAAAAATATACGCCCACAGGAAGCACTGCATAGACACAGCGGGTTGTATGTCTATGCTTAGTCATTTATATGTACGTGCAGCAATGGTTACAGGCCAAGAGTAGGGAGGTTTGGAGTGGGAGAAGCAGGAGTGAGAAGAGGGGAATGTTTTCATTAAATTAAAAATAAGTAAATATCATGACAAGGCAAAAAATCGCCCATGCAAAAAACATAGAAACTAAATTTGAAAAGCCAGTAAGTGACTTCTAAGAGAATTCCAGAAGGAAATAAGACAATGTTATAGCAAAATTAAGGCAGAGGAGGGATCATAGCAGAGTTCTACCTAGCATGAGCATTGTCTTCAAGGGACAGCATGTGAGGACTCAGGCATTACGGTGGCCTGCCCCTGTCACCTGGCAGAATGCACTCAGGCAGTGCCCTGGTCATCCCAGGGCTCCATGAGTACTAGTCTGCATGCAGGTGCAAAGGACCCTTTTAAAAGATGGACCCTGCCCACTTACACTCCCTTTCTACTCTTCTCTCTCACTCTCTCTTTTCCAGCTCTCTTTGCCGGCTTCTCTCTTCCCTGTTTTCCTTCCCTCTCTTCCCCTGGTGCAGACGGGACTTTTCCTGTCTCCCTCTTCTTCTGCCCTCTCTCTGTCTCTGTGTCTCTTTACCTTTTTCCTCCCCACCCCCTTTCCCTTTCTAATAACACTTCTCACTTAAGCTCTGTCTGCCTAGCGTGTTTGTCCCTCCGCCTCCGTCACCATCACCTGCCGTGGAATCCGTCAAAGTGCTCCTAGAGCTTTATCGTAGCACAGCGAGCTTTCGATCATAGAGAAACTGTCATGGCTCACGGGGACCACACCTTCCAACTGCAACCTTTGATCACGGCAAGGAACCGATTTGCTACGTTACTGTGTTCAATTTTTTTTTAAGTGAAGGAGAACGGACTCTTAATAGAAAACATGGGGCTGCATTCCCTCCTGCAGCATGGTGAGCGGCGCTGAGTTTTAATGTCACTCTGTGTTCATCAGTTAGATTTGTAATTAGCATTTTATATTGTGGGTGACTGTCACCAGAAGTCTAGAGGGTTACAGTGAGGGGCAGGGATTCTATTTTGGGCGTAAGCTCAGGCTGCTCAGTCATGAATACTGACCCTTCTCCTTGCTCTTGGACTCTGCACTGAAATTAAATGGAAAATGGGGACGGGATAGTCTAACCGGAGGCAGAGGCCCCATCAGCAGGTTGTAAATATGTGAACTGGCAACGGGGAGACCAGAGACCGAGGGTGGAGGCGGCAGATCCCAGGGTCCCCTCTCCAGCCTCCGGCTTTCAGCACTGGCGCCGTTCCCTTCCTCAGTGGAACGCTGGGCACACAACCCTGCTAAGTAGCCACCCATCCCGCCATCCCCCAGGAGCATTCTTCATCTCCTCCATAACAGAGTGGCAGCCATCGAGAGCCAGTGGCTCCTCATGCAGATCTTGGGGGCTGGGGTGAGGTTTCGTTACCACAGCGCCCCACTCATGACACTCCCGTTCAACAAACAATCCTAGTCGAGGCTAAACTAAAGGGCATCAGAGGACAATGACGGTCTTAGTTCAGTTGGCAGTCCTATTTGAAGCTGGAACTCTTTGTGAGAAGGGACTGATTGTAGCTCATTGGGCATAGCTTATTCTAAGGAGAAGGGGGATTTTAAAAAGGTCCAAGTGTGTTTCCAGGGAACAAACATCTTGGAATGTTGTATGCCTCTAGGCCCAAAGGACGGGTTGACTCAAAGAACTTGTCATCTCCTTTTTTAGAATAAAAGTCTTTTGGCAAGTTATTTAGGATATCCAGCCTGGACCTACTTTTGGGACCCAATCTGGCTCTTGGGAAGCATAGGGGAAGCTTTTTTTTCCTAGCCTGGACATCTTGAGAACAACCAACATTTTGAATTCAAAGTTGCTGAGCTATATTTGAGGTCCAACCACACTGCTAACTAGAGCAGGCAGGATGCCCAGAAGACTAGATTTGGAGAAGCAGTGAACCTGTCAAATAGGTGTGGGGCTGCTGCCTCTTAAAAAGGACAGTATCACGGGGGGAGCGGTTGATGAGGAGGGGTCATTTACCCTTCTCATCTCTCTTCAAGGCTAGCGTCCCTCCATGCCTGAATCTGTAGTTCAGGGCATTAAAAATCTATGATCATTACTCTCCCCCTACAACCCAGTCCCCCAAGCTGCCATGATGTCTTGATGGTGTTATGTATTTGGGGACAGGGGCAGTCAGGTAGAAACCTGACATAAGGGAAGCTCCCAGGAATCCCATCTAAGGAATGATCCTAAGAGTCCTAGCAGTAGTGGAGAGGATGCCTGAACTGGCCATATCCTGTAATCAGATTGGTAACTACCCCAACTATCATCAGAGAGCCTTCATCCAGTGACCAGTGATTGACGGAAAACGGACGCAGACATCCACAGCTGAGCACAGCCTGGGAAATCCTACTGAAGAGAGGGAGGAGGGATTATACGAGGCAGGGGGCTGTGGGGTCAAGGTCATCCCTAGGGAACCCACAGAAACGACCAACCTGGGCTCATAGGAGCTCACGGACTCTGGACTGACAGCTAGGGAGTCTGCATGGGATCAGCCTAGGCCCTCTACATCGGTGTGACAGTTGTACAGCTTCATCTACTCGTGGGACTCCTGGTGGTGGAAGCAGGGTCTGTCCCTAACACTTTGACTGGCTTCCAAGAACTTATTCCTAATACTGGGCTGCCTTTCCCAGTCTTCATACAAGGGGAGGAGCTTATCTCAACTGGATTATGCCAAGCTTTGTTGACAACCCTGGGAGGCCTTACCCTTTCTGAACAGAAACAGAGGAGGGGTGGATGGGGGGAGTACGGAGAAGGTGGGAGGAGGGGGTGGGAGGGGAGGGGAGAGGGGGAATTGTGTTTGGGATGTAAAACAAGTGAACAAATTTAATTAATAGTACATCTCTGATCGTGAACACACAGGTAGATAGCACCAGGCCTCAGGATGGATTTTCTGAGTGATCTGTGATCTGCGGGGAAATTAGTTCAAGGTACATGACCCCAAAGGGCTGCCTAAAATCCAAATACAAAGGATTGCTCAGCAGTTTCCCTTAGTCCTGCAAGAATCCTGACTAACCCAACACCCTCATTGGTGAATCCTGTCTAACCCAACACTCTCATTGGTGAATTTAAAGGCAGAAGTATGAACCCCTTCCTTCATCTATACTACAACAATGTCCTCCTCACTCCTGTGTCTGGCTCACAGCCTCACTTCTCTGAGATGAGGGAGCAAGGGACAGCAGGATGAGGCTGTTGGGATCCATGGGCACCATGGTACCCAGCAGACAAGACAGACTTCAGCCCCAACCCAGGATCAAAAGACTCCCCAACCATCTGCCAGCACATGCTGAAGGAATATAAACCACCCTTGGATTACCCTGAGCACAACGAAACCAAGAGGGAAGGTTGGCAAGGTGCCCCGGGGGCAAGAAGGAAGCTGTGTTTCGGGTACTCCAAAACCAGACGGGAGCAAAAACCAGGCTTTTAAGGACATCATCTGTCTCTACACAGTCAGCCTCCTCATTCTAATGCCTGTGTGACTTCCTCTCACCCCTCTCAGTTCTCTGAGAAATCAGCCACACGCTGAACCTAAAGCACACATCCCCAAACTGCAGCTGTGCCAACAGCGTCCAGGACCCCCGCATTCCACTAGCCATCACTAGGACTTCAGTTCAAATGCTGGGCAGAAGCAGACATGTTGAAGACCCAAGGGTCCTGGAATGGGACTCCATAGGCCTCAACTGCTATGAAGACATTTCCTTAACCTCTCTGCACTTCCACCGTCTCACCTAAGAAACTGGGAATAATAAAGCTGTTTTTCGTGATTGCTGTAAGGGTTAAAATGGGTATCCATATGCACCATACAGGGCACCAAGCAGAAGTCCATAAATGACGATCAGACTAGTGATGGCCTGTCCCCTCCAAGAGACATGTCCACTGAAGAGCTCTTCTGTGGCTGCCTCCGGAAGTTTCTCCAAGGCCACTGATGGCCAGCCTCTCAGATACCACCCTGTCCCCATGCCCATGCTCTCCTTGGTACAGTGCTTGTTGCCATATATGGTGAACTAGCTTCCGTGTCATCCCCATGAGAAACCCTACCATCCCCACTGACTTCTCTCTCTCTCTCCTAACAGCAAACCTGCCATTGGATTCTTGAAATTCTACTTTTTGCTTCAACCCACACCTTAGCTCATTAAGCCCCCGGATAACATGGTTCCCACCCGCTTTCCCTGCCCCTGCAGTCCAGCCTCTACCTGCCATCTTTTTCCAAATGTGCAAACCTGATGGTGCTCCCTTCCCTGCTTTCCCTGCCCCTGCCCTCCCCTAGCTCCCAGCACAATCTGCATCCTTTCATGTGGCTCCTGGAGCCTTTGGTCCACCGACTCTCTCCCAACGTCATCTCCCACCGTGGCCCTCCCGTGTGCTCGGGCCGCACGGAGTGACTTGTAGTTTACCCCCGTGACTCACCCCTGCCTGCCTCCGTCTGGAACCCTGTCTTTGCCTTGCTCTGTGCTAACTCCTTTTCAACTCGCTGGCTTCTTCCTGGCTGGCACGTCATCTAGAGGCCTTCTCACCTGACTCCCCAGTGAGATGCCCGTTCTGCTCCATTCTGAACGATCGCTTGTTTGTTCCTCTCTTCCAGGAGCCTGCAGCCTCTTGAGGAGAAAACCCCAAGTGTCTCAGACAGATGGGTTCGAAGCAGACACTCCAACTGGATGAATGGACGCTAGAAATGAGCCTGCCCTGAGGAGCAGTCCCTGATTAAACGTGGCTGTCCAGCGACTAAGACAACACCAGGTATGGGACCAGGTATGGAGCACGTACCTAGGATGGCCACCACCTCATCATCCTGGATCACCTCCAGGGAGCCTGAGACCACGAAGCAGAGGCTGTCCACACTCTCCCCGGCGTGGTAGATGAGGTCCCCCGGGGCACAGTGCACTGTCTGGAACTCCATGGCCAACGCCCGCAGGCAGCCATCGCTGGCCAGCCGGAAGGCGGGGTGCTCCTTGAACACTTTGCGGTTCAGGTGCACGCAAATGTCAGCTCTCATGTCCTTGGGGCAGATCTGCAGGACCTGGACAGACAAGGGAGAGACAGGCGTGAGGACCACTTGACAGCCCCATCCCCTCAGCTCCCTGGGCGCAGGGCAGCACCCAGGAGGCCAGGCTGTACTCTTACGCTTCAGTGCCAGGGGAAAGCCAGGCAGTGTCTAGATGCGAGCTCAGTCTGCTGAAAGCTCAGGACAGGGGACTGAAAGTCAGGGCTAGGAGTGGGTGGGGCATGAGAAAGGCCATCTCCAAGAAGGAGATGGCCTTTCACCTGACAGCTTCAGAATGTGTCAGAGTGAACCTCGTGGAAGGAGAACATCATTCCAGCAGGGTGGCAGACACAAAGGCTCTGCAGGCCTGAGCAGGCATCCGCCCGAGTCAGGGGGAGGGAGGGCTAAGGGACGTCGTGCAGAGAAAACGCTGAACATGCGAGACACTTGCGAGTCACTGACTGTAGCCAGGGACACAGATTTAGGGGACTGATGTCATCTGGGGCCTCTGAGAGGAATTAGAGAGCTCTGACAGGGCTGGGGAGGGGCTTTGCTACAGAGGAGTCCAGGGGAAAGATGAGAGGAGCTCGGACTGGGATGGTTCAGTGCAGCCAGCAAGAAGTGGCCGTGTTCAGATCACAAGTAAATCAAATACACACACACACACACACACACACACACACACACACACACACACACGTCTCAGGGGTACAGCATGATACTTCAACGTGCATACAATACGTGAACAAAGTAACTGGTACATCCACCCCTTTAAATATTCATCGTTTCTTTGTGTGGAGAACATTCTCAACACTCTCCTCTGGCCATTTGGAAACACGCAGTAGATTGGTTAAGAGGTACAAAATTACAGGTGGGAGAAACAGCCCAGCATTCCGTAACTTAATGGGGTCACATTAAACTACAGAGTGTATTCGGATTATGCAGCTGGCATGGCTTGCTGATAGAATGCATATGTGATGGCATTTAAAGAGAGATATTTACGTGAGACCTGCCCAAGATCAAGCCAGCCAAAATTCCAGCACAGATGGGAGAGGTGTTCCTGAGTCCCCACCCTTAGCTGAGCAACTACTGGCAACTGGTGGCTTCGAGGAAGGGAGAGTCGCTCTCCTTTGGGGATGTGGCCATTGGTGGGTAACCCATGCCCCCAGGGAATAGCCTCCCCACCCGGTTACACACAGTCATTACTAGTGATATTTAGTGGAATGGTGATAATGAATGAACAGGAACAACATACAGAAAGCTGATGGGAAGACAGGTTAGTGAGCCCCAGGGGCAGTTAGAACGAGGTAGTTAGGGTAGATATGATAAAAAAATTTTACCCATGTATTAATTTTCAAAGAACAAATAAATATACTTTACAAAAATGAGATACGTGTGAAGTCACATTTTCCTGAGAGCTTTCTGTCTGCCAGGCATGACCTCAGCAAGTCACACAGTTAACATTTATTTGCCAGGCATCCATAGTGTGCCAGGCACTATTTCTAGGCTCTAATAATGTAGTTAAGAAAAATCAAGTAGCAAGGTGGTAGCAAACACCCTTAATTCCAGCACTCCAGGCAAGGGGGCAGGCGGATCTCTGTGAGTTCGAGTCCAACCTGGTCTACAGAGTGAGTTCCGGGACAGCCAGGACTACACAGAGAACTCTGTCTCCAAAAAACCAAAGCAAACAAGTAGACAAACAAACAAAAAAACAACCCTGCTCTCATGGAGTTTACTGTCTAGTAAGAGGAGGCAAATGACAAGCAAAATAAATATAACTTGGTACCCGTCACTGAGGGCAACAAGGAAGACAGACAGGACAGGGAACGAGGGGCATGCAATTTTGCGTTTGAAAGTGTGCTTGCTAACTTGGTCCCCACAGGAACTCCAGGATGTGCTTTTAGTTCCACGAGTTCAGATGAGGAAGCCGAGACACAGGGAAGCCCAAAGTTTCCCAGCCAGGAAACAGGCAGATCTCAGCTTTCACACTAGGTGGCTTGGCACCAGAGCCTGGCTACAGCCTAACCAACTCCCACGCCAGGAGGCAGCTCTGCAAAGCTAACGGGTGGCAATTGGACAGGCAGCATCCCCACCCCCACCCACGGTACTGAGGGGGAGACCCAGAGCTCTGCGCAAGCCAGACAACCACTCTGGCATCTGGGCTGTGTCCCCAGCCCTGACTCGCACCATTTAAAAAACAAACTAGGAACAGCAAGCCCTGTGGATCTCCCCTTTTTCTGAACAACTGAAAAACTGCCCAGCTTTTTAGAGCAAGAGAGATTTCTGTGGACCATTCTTGCAAGAAACGACTGCATATCTTTCTACGGCAAGTCTTAAGGGACATGATAGGACACCTTCCAGTAGGCTTTTTCAGAGAAATCAGCAGTGTTTTTTTTTAAATATTAATTAATTTATTATGTATACAGTATTCTGTCTGCATGTATCCCTGCAGGCCAGAAGAGGGCACCAGGTCTCATTACAGATGATTGTGAGCCACCATGTGGTTGCTGGGAGTTGAACTCAAGACCTCTGGAAGAGCAGTCAGTGTTCTTAACCTCTGAGCCATCTCTCCAGCCCCCATCAGCAGTATTTTTAAAACATTTTTTTTTGCCTGTACTGTTCTGTGAACCAGGTAAGGGGCGTGGAATCAAGTGTGATCACTCAGTGGCTACTTCTTGGGGTGCTGGGGGCTTCCTAGGCCCTGTTCCTGTCCTAGCCTCAGCCATTTGTCTCTGCATCTGGGGCTTCTGCACCAGCACCCCCAGATCAGGTCAGCTCTTGCCCTGGATGGCTTCACTGCCCCCCCTTCAGTGTCTACATGAAGGTGGAGGGGTGGCTAGAGAGGTCACATGACTGAACCCCCGGTTACTGAGTAGCAGCTTAACTACTCCGTGCTTTCTCTCTCCTGTAAAGCACAGACTGCCAACACTGACTCCAAAGTGAAGGGACTCTGCACCTGTCTGAGATACATCCCTGTCTCTGGGTGCCTCTGCATCCCCTTGCTGGGCTGTAGGATGGCCAAAACATGAGTGTCTCTCTGGGAGAACAGATGGAGGAGGGGCAGAGGCACAGACCTTGGCCAAGAGATCGTGACAAAGAAGACTAATGCAAAAGTGCTGATCTGAGGGTTTTCTCTATGCGGGCCACAAGCTGGTGGGGACCACACATATCACATCCAAGCAGCGCCCGATAGCAGAGCCAAGGTTAATTCTCCAGGTGAGTTCACATTCGAATATTTGCTTCCTGAGTCAAGTCTCCTGCATAAGGGTTGATCATGAGGCAATATCATTTTCAGGACAGTGATCCCAGAACCACAAAAAAGACTGTGTGTGTGTGTGTGTGTGTGTGTGTGTGTGTGTGTGTGTGCCGTGCACATACGTGCAAGCACAAGTAGACTATCTGAAGATGAAGAGGAGGATGGCAGACTCTGGACTGTGCAGTGTCTCCATGTTGTTCCCATCTGCAAGTTCTCCACTGGAGTAAGCAGACAGGGGGCATGCCCTCTCTCTGAAGGAGGGGCTCAGTTGTTCAACCCACAGCCTCCTTCTCAATTGCCAGGCTTTGAGATGTCACACTCTTGAGAGTTGTGACCATGAAGAAGCCTCTTCTGGGCTGGGTCAAGGTTGAGGCTCTGGATTCAGTCCTACTCCCAGCCTACACCACATGTGTGAACTTGAGCAATGCTTAGCTCCCGGGGCCAAGTCTTCCTTTACATGTGTGGGATTTTGTGAGATTTCATATGCTGTTGTGTTAAAACATCTGTTACCTAGGTACTTGTGGGTCCTTATTTAATGTCATTACAGAGCCATCATGGTCCAAGAGGTCATAGCTAGCCCAAAGGTCACAGAGGCCATGTGGTCTTCAAGGTCATCTTACTTCAGTGTGTTCCAGACACAGAACTGGGGGGAAGAGTGTCACCTGATGTGCTCAAGGTCACCGGCTAGTGACTGGAGGGAAGAGGGAAGGGGGACTCCAGGGTGGTTCTCTCCCCAGCTGCTGCTGCCTCCTTTCCCAGGCTGGGCTCTGCCATGAGATGCTACAATTGGGTCTCTGAACCAGGAAGTGGGGTGGATCCCAAAACCCCTCCAGGAGGCAAGCAGGTGAGCAGGAATGCCGTGCTGACAGGGCAATGTCCCAGGCAGTTCTCCTGCCCAGCCCTGCAGGAATGAGGACAAGGGAAGGGTTTTTCCCAGACAGGGGGATCTATGGAGTCATTCTAGCTCCTGGGAAAAAGGAGCTTCGGGGCAGAGATCAAAGCTCTTTCTGCTCCATTGGCTGCCAGGCACCCACAGAAGCAGCAGGCATTGTTGCCAGTGATGAGCAGGAACAAAGGCACAGCTGGGGCGGGGGAGCTGGCAAAGAGGTGCCCACCCAGGCCCCGTGCATCCGGGAAGCCTGAACCTCAGCCCTAGTCCCTCTGGTGTGCGCTTTACATCCAGAAGAGGCAGAGCCCGCACGATGGTTCGGCGGTATTAAAAGCACACCCCCAAGCATGAAGGAGCTGAAGCCAATCCCTGGAGCCCACATGATAGGAAGAGACAAACACAAAAGACAGGCCGTGACACTGTGCACATGCATACACGCACATGCACACAAGCACGCACCCATGCACATGCACACAGTAAGGCATAACTTTAGAAGAATTAAAGGAGAGCCGGGCGTTGGTGGGGCACGCCTTTAATCCCAGCACTCGGGAGGCAGAGGCAGGAGGATCTCTATGAGTTCTAGACCAAGCCTGGTCTACAGAGCGAGTTCCAGGACAAGCTCCAAAACAATACAGAGAAACCCTGTCTCGAAAAACCAAAACATAAAAAATTTAAAAAAAATAAATAAAAAGAGGGAGTCCAGTAAGAAAAAAGACAAGCTTTGAAACCAGATGAAAACTGGGTTCAAACCCTGGTGTCACCCTAGGGCAAGGGAAGTCAAAAGTGTGAACTGAGCCTCTGGTCCCCCTCACTCAACAGAGCTTCCAGCCGCACCTTCCCAAGGGGGGAGGGAAGCCCACACAAGGTGCAGTGGGTGACAGTCACACAAACTCACATTGGTTCTTTCTGTTTTTCCCCAACAAATGTTTGCCACGCAGCCCAGGCTGGCCTCAGGCTCACGGTTGCCCTGCCTCCGCCCCACAAGTCTGAGATTGACTACAGGTGTGCACCACCACACCTGGCAAAATGCCTGTTCTCCTCGAATGTTCAAGACGTGGTAGTTGGCACTGTAGTCGGTTTTATCTTGGCTCACAGTGGTCAGACCCAAAGCAACGAGCCTTTCAAGCAGAGGATCGGCAGAACTGAGCATTCCTAAAAAACTGCCATTGCTCAACCATCTGTTCAGATAGAGGAGCTTGGAAATGCGACTGACTGACCCCAAAGCTGGATCAGTGTGGATTTCTAAGTGTCCATAACTATGTTTGCCATACTGCTACCGTTTTCCTAATACTGCAGTGGATAGACAGGGTTTGGGGGAAGTGGAATCAGAAAGACTGAGGAACAGAGAAACTGAGTTGAAGATAAGGCTTTGGGCAATACACAGAGCAGGGGCAGGGCTGAGGCTCAGGGCTTGTCTAGCGCACATATGCCTTGGGACAGTCGGCATGGTGGCACACACACGCTATTCCAGCACTCTGGGGGTAGGCACAGGAAAAAGAGAAGTTCGAGTTCATCCTGAGCTACATAGAGAGTTCCAGGCTACCCTGGGCTACAGGGTACGTCTCAAAGGGCGTGGGGGAGACAGGGAGATAATTCCTAAATTAGCCCTCTGTATCTTTTCTCTGCTCTCTGGGAAACCACACACATTTCTGCACTTCACTGACACAGATCTCAAGTGATACAACTGTTGGAGAACAGCCATACACGGGACGGCTTGCTAGTCTCTGGATCGCACAGCAGGACATAGTCACCAGCTGGTGGCTAAGGCGCAGACATGCACCACTATGGCCTGGACTTGTCTGAGGTGCAGTCTTACCAGGGTAATTACTGGCCCTGCCCACTGCCCCAGGTGCTCACAGGTCTGGGATGGTGGTCAGGAGTCTAGTTTTAATGACAGCATCATGGGATTCTTATCAAGACTGGGAGGAGGAAGAGAAAGGTGTGAGAGGACGGCCTCGGGACATGCCCGTTCAGGAGAAGACCAAAAATAAGCATGACAAGTCATATTTCATGCAGTGGTTCTTTAAGAAAATCAAAGTTCATCTTTAAAAAGCCATGCCAAACAAATACATCTCTCTCTCTCTCTCTCTCTATATATATATATATATATATATATATATTCATTTTAAAAGAAGACAAGATTGGCAAGCATGGAGCCTTCCCCTGCCCAGTCTCTTCATTTTATCGTGATCCACCTTTGGGAAGTTACTCTAGACAGCAGCAGGACATCTGTCCCCCTCGCTCCAGGAGATATGCCATGCCTTTGATTTTTAAAATGATGGCTCTTACTTTCTGTTCTCCCATTAAGGACAATAGAGAGGCCATCAAACTCCTGGAAGGAGGACCTGAGAATTCCAGATGTCCCAGGTGAGTTCTGAGCCCAGCCCACTGGGAAAAGCTAGGGGACAGGTGGTGTGGGCTAGGGTCTCCCACTCCTTACCTTCTCTGTGTCAATTCCTCGGGACATGGACCAGGTGGATACAATGTAGTCCATGACCCGCTCGCTCAGCCCTTTGGGCACCTGGTAGAGCTTCAGGAAATCCCGGACGCTGTTGAGCATCTCATGATACCTGTTGGTGTTGGCGTACATCTGCTGGAAAATGGTTGTCACATTCCCAAAGATGGTGGCATACAGGAGAGCTGGAGACAAACAGAAGCGAAAACCTGTGAGTGGTCCATGAGCTAAACTCCAGAGTGTGCAACTCCCTCGGAGAAGGCCTTGTAGCCAGAGCCTGTGCTCCTTGGAAGAGTGAGAAGACCTTAGGAGAACCTCACATCTCAAGCCATTGAGTTTGTAACAACAGACAACTAGGACCAATGGAATGTTAGGGAGGGCCCATGTAGGTGAGACCAGGTGTGGCTGGTGCCTCAGACACATGTAGGAAAGAAGGCAGTTTACATTTGTCACAAGAAATTTGAGCCATGCCTGAAGCCACCAGTCAAGTGTGTGTGTCTATGTCCCCACACCAGTCCAAATCCACACTATGGGCAACAATGTATCAAGCTCTGTCTATGTTCCCACACCAGTCCAAATCCACACTATGGGCAACAATGTATCAAGCTCTGTCTATATTCCCACACCAGTCCAAATCCACACTATGGGCAACAATGTATCAATCAAGCTCTGCAGTTGCCAAGCATGTGTTACTTACCTAGGGCACTGAGTGGTGAGACATAGCCCTGGGCTTTATTGAACCACGTGGTAGGAGGAGCAGACCCTGATACCCACCCCAAATAACTAAATGATAGCGAGTCTGCACAGGGGCCACAAAGGACAACTACAAGCTGAAATAAACCCTGCTGTCCCCAAGTCACTTTTTGTCACGGTGCTTTTATCTTATCAATAGAAACTGTAAGACACACTGACACTGTATCCATTAAATGTGTAAAACTCTACTATTTCAGAAACATAGTTTTAGAATTGTGCAGCCATCAGGTTTAGAACATTTTCACTTTTGCAAAACAAGGAATATTATATCCACTGTCAGTCCCTCTCCATTCTCTCTCCTGTCCCTGCAAGCTCATTCATTCTAGGCGTCTTCTGTGACAGCCCCCCCTCACACTATAGCAGGTATCAACATTCCCAATCCTCTTGTTGCTAAACAGTACTTATTCATGAGAAAAGTCAACATTTCATTTGCCTGACACTCATCAGTTAATAATGGGCATTTCTGTTTTTATCTTTTACTTTTTGGCTGTTACGCTTATGAATGTCTATGAACATCTGTGGGTAGGCATTTGAGTAACATGCATTTTATTCTTTTAGGTTTGTGCCTGGGAAGGTCCTAGGAGTGATGTCAGCAGACAAAACTGGCCCAGTGTTCACATCCTTTGGATGCTCCCTTTCTGTAGCAGACCATTATCCGAAGGCATAGTGTGTCCTCTCACTTCTTTTTAGAGGAAGCAGGTGGCATGTGTCTTGAGGTTTCCTCCCCTCTGCTCATGAGCATGCCTGTCAGTCTCTCTTGTCAAAAACAGATGGAAACCCTAGGTGCTGCTCACATTAGTGCAGGGCCCAGAAAGTGGATTTGGAATTTTGCATGTGGGGGGGGGTGAGTTCACTGCTGATCACCTGGTTGGAGTTGGTATCGGAGAACACAATTTTGGACTAAGGTACCTGACCTACTCTATGACATCAAAGTATGGGGACATAGATACTATTCTATGACCCCAGGCTGCTTGGACTAGTCACGTGTAAGTTCTTCTGGAGTAAACAGTCTAAACAGTGTAGAGGAAAGATCTACTACTGCACACGTTTTCCTAAGAACGACCCCATATCTTCTTTCTCCTCCTCTTCCTCCTCATCCTTCTCCTCCTCTTCATCCTTTTTTCCTCTCACCCCATTATCTAGCTACTCTACTACCCTAAGGCCTCTTAGCACCAAGATAAAACACCATGACCGAGGCAGCTTAGAGAAGGAAGGGTGTATTTGGCCCTATGGTTCCAGAGGTATAAGAGTCCACACTATCACAGTGGGGAGGCAGGACAGCAGGCATGCGTAGCGCCTGGAGCAGCAAGCTGAAGGCTTATGTCTTGAGCCACAAGCATAAAGCAGAGGCAGCAACTGAAAATTGTGAACGTCTTTAAACTCCCAAAGTCCACCTCCAATGACATTCATCCTCTAGGAAGGCCACACCTTCAAAAGAAAAAAAATCCACCAACATGGGACCGAGTGTTTAATGTCTAACCCTATGGGGTTGTGTGTGTGTGTGTGTGTGTGTGTGTGTGTGTGTGTGTAGCACAATTGTCATTCGAACCATTGCAACATCTAATATTGTTAACACTATGTTTTCTGTCTTTGTAGTTGTCATTACTTCTGTTCGTTCAAGTGTGACAGCTATGGAAAAGGGATAGAAATGTGTTCATATCTGTGCTGCCCTGAGGTTTTATAGCCTGGCCCCACTTGCTGTTCATACTCTGCTTTCTCGCTGGAGATGCAACACAGAGGCACTGCGACTAGCTGCTTCAAGCTCCTGCTGTCACTCTGTCCCCACCACGATGGACTGTGTCCCCTCAAACTGTGAGCCAGAACAAATGCTTCCTCCCTGAAGCTCTTCTTGTCAGGTGTTTTGTTATAGTGGGGGGGGGGAGGAAGGAACTAATATACCTCTCTTGTTTATGATGACATCATCAATGAATCAGCAAAGCAAATGCCAGTATTTATGCTGGGGGGACCAGCTCCATGATAAACCTTAGTGTTTACTTCTGGGCCACCAAATGTCCATGTACCCCAGTTGTCCCAGACCTGCCCCCTGGGACTTGCAGTACCCTGGCCTGTACTTTTCTTCACACGCAGTCATTTCAGGGACTTCTTCCTCTGCATTCAGCAGTTGCTTAATGAATGCTGTAGATCAATGATGGAAAGACTGTCTCCAAGAGGTTAGTTTGTATGTGTTCACATGGACCAGCGGTCCCATATCACCCCAGTCTGAGGGAAGAATGCAGATTTTTGCTCCCACCCAGAGCTACCGGGTCTTGGGGGCAAGGCCCATGATGGTGTTTTCTCAGACTCTTCCGCCAGCTTTGAGTGTGCTAAGCCTGAGTGTGCCAAGTGTCCACACAGGCCAGGTGTTGCACTAGTGAACTGAGTGCAATGTTCCATGACAGATGGAAAGACACTGGCCTACAGTGAGGTGTACACAGGGCCTTAGCTATCCTCACACCACTGGACAGATGGGAGCCACACGGCCCAGGACAGAGACAGGACCCCACGGCAGGCCACGCCCCATGAGGCTGACACTGGGGTGGACTCTCCTATACTCGGCTCTGGATTTCTTGCCAGCACTGGCCTTGTGTATCTCCACCTGCCCAGCCTCCGCCTAGGTCAGAAAGTAGCTCTCAAGACGGGTCCTTTAAAATACACCTATCCCTCTATTTATAGCAAGAGAAGCCTGAAAACTCATTTAATACTGTGCTAAATATAGCCCAAATGCCTACATTACCTCAGACTCGGCTGCACTGGGGAATGTCACTTAACAAGCACGGCTCTTACAGGGAGACAGAAGGTCACTTCCAGCCACTTCTCGTCTGTCGAATGAAGCAGCAGGGCCCACAGCACTATAACCCACTAACAGGCACATGGCTCCACCTCCCTTACCAGCATTTTAATAGCTCTTCAGACCAAAGGAACAATTTCCACAGGCAATTACTCCTGGGAAGGAACCAAGATGGTCAGAAACCTGATTGCAAGGGTCTCCCAGCGATTCCATGCTCTGACTCATCTCATGCTTGCTGACTCGCGGTGGACCCTTGGTTACAGGGCACTTTGACTCATCTTGTGCTGGCTGAGTCCCGGGTCACGGGTGGACCATTGGCCACAGGGCACGTGTGCTTGCTGCTGGGAAGGTTTACAAGCCCACGCCCTACCTCACTTGGTGATGAGAGTCGAGGTGCTCCAACATGAGTCATCATTGAGAATCCAATTAGCAAAGCTACTTAGAGGAGTGCATTCTTTTAAAGCTGTTTAAACACACAGGGACTCCAGGCCCCTTTTCCAAAGGCAGCTAGGCCTAAAGCTCTCCCAAAACCTGGGTTTTTTCCTTCTACATCTCAAAGCAAAAATGAAGTGGAAGACTTCTCAGTAGACACTGCCGTCTTCCTGACTGCTGAAATCTGGGCATCACCCACCACGCTTGTGCAGGATGAAGGCTAGGGAAATGCCTCTGCCACCGACTGTGAGAAGGAGAAATTAAGTGACTTTGATAGCTGACTGCTCTCCTCTCAGAACCTTGACCATGCTGTGGTCTCTGTATTGACTGGCCTTCGCCTTTCAGGTTTCAAAGGGTCATTAGTGACACCGTAGGTCCCTTCACCGCACCTCTTTTCACAATCACACAGAATGAGAATCGCTTGCCTCGGACCTCACAGGATTCCAGGAGGCAGAGTCCCCCCTCTCTGCAAAAGTCAGTGGTCGTAACTACCCACATGGGACAGTGAAGTGCCTGGACATCTATGGGCCAACTGGCATGGGAGGGAACCCTGATACACCCACAACACCCTCAGACGAAGGTAAACACAGACCCTCAGACGACATAGAAAGCAGAGGGGAAGGAGGGGAAAGGTGTCTGGCTATAGGCTCCGCAGGTCAGATACGGAGTCAAGTCAACACAAACATCCCATCTGAACAAGGCAGGGACACACAGGGACAGGGGCTGCACCCCCAAAAGAGAAGAGCACAGCAGAGGCCAGACAGCCAACTATCTACATCTGTCCGCGCCTCCCTACAGAAAGAGTCCTGGTGCTATACCCTAAATTAATCTGTAAACCCCATCTGTCCAAGGATCAGGTAACTTCCTGGAATGCTGGGAGATGTAGTTCTTGAAAACAGCAAAGCCTCACGGGAAAGTACGGGGGCTTATGGGTTTTGTCTTTATTAAGCCCAGACAACGTGTGTCTAGGAGTCACTCAGCTTCAAGCTTCCGGGGAGTGGTCCTGACCAAACTCCATCTTGGTCAGTATATAAAATTTCAATAGAGCTGACTTTAACCTGGCCCCAAATGGTGGGACTAGGTTTTTCCCCCTGGTGAATCCCAGGGTTAACTCTGGGAACAGCTTGTCCAGCAGAGTGCCAGGAGCCATGGACCGCCTCACACAGCAGCTTCTGATACAACACCATGTGTGTGAGGTCCTTCCCTGTCAAC